TTCTATGAAGAGAAACCATTTCATCATAGTCCTTGGTTTCCTCTTTGTCAAGGACCAGTGTGGCCGGTCCTACCGGGGTTGCTTCTATGATGGAAGGCTTCTCCTGAGTCTCAGACTTGGAGGAGCGTCATATTGTTTGGTTTTTTCTTGGGCTGGGGACTCAGAGAAGATGTGCATTCACTGGATTCAGGTGCGGCATCACGAGCCCTCTTCTGGTAAAGGGCTTCTTGAATTTTTTGCTGAGCCACCTTCGAATCATGAGAAACCTCGACGGTGGGACACGCAGAAAACCTCTTCGGAAGGCCTACATATTATGAAAAGCAGTCAAAAAATCTGTACTGCATAAAGTTGAAGATTAAAAAGGAAAAGGGAAAGTTTCACTCACCATGGTTCTTGTCCTTCTAGTTGAATCTATGAGAAATTTCCTTCCACTTACAGGAGTTCGGTGTGGAAATGTCCAAACATTTTTTAATCTATTGAGTTATGTTTGCAACTACTGAAGGAACCCAACGGGTGGCTGAAATAAGAGAAGATAAGGTTTAGTAAGAAAAGAAAATTACTTTGACACATTAAGAAGAATTTTAACAAAGCTTATGAGTATAATTTTGGGATTCGAGAATAGGAGATGTTGATGCCAGTAGAATATCTTTGATAGAAACAACAACAAACCTCTTCATCCAACCACTGTCATTGTCGTCATCAACCCTGGTGATGATGGCATGGTGACCACGTTTGCCTAGTTTGATCATGCCTCCACGGAAATTTTTAGGGACGTGGAGGTTGATCAAGTGAGCTAGTGTAAGGGTTTCACCAGCACGGGAACACAGAAATTGAAGACAAGCCACTAATCACCCTATCGATAGTCATACTTAGGCTAAACACACTTGGTAGTTCCGGCAAAACTCTAAGATGATGGAATCAATTTCTTGACCAAGCCTTAAAGAGAAAGGGTGTGTATTAATGTACATGTACCCTGCTTACTGAAAGTAATTCTTTCTACTTCGTTAGGAGGCTAAATCCTTAATATTGTTCCAATCACAATCTTCTTTTAAAACGGGGATATTAGCAGGGCGTATAGAAGAAGGGTATTTACCAACAACTCTGTTTCTATCATTTTTTGGGTTAGAGGATTCCTGTTAAACATGAAGATCTATCTCACAATTTAATTGATAAAGGATAATTGTGTTAGTAGAAGGAGGACTGGCATCGAGTTCCTTAGACTTGTTCTTTTTGGATGGGTCGCCACCGACGTAAGTACATGTGTATCCGGGGAGAAAAGATAGTAGAATACATGGTAATGGAAAATGCGAATATGAAAGTTTTACTAAGAAAGGGGGAGTTGCAGAAAAGCTCTAAAAAATCCGAAGAAGAAAGGTTTGTAAAAGTGAAAGGTAAAAGCGATGAGAAGGGAAAAAGTTTATAGGCGGCAAAAGGCAAGGCCATTAATACCTAGGTAACTGGTGAAGGTGTTTGCCGAATCACGGGATAACACGTGTTCGACTCATTAAATGCAAGGAGACGTGCATCTTTCAAGTATCAGAAACCGTTCAGCAACTTTCCCGCCAAGCAAAAAGAGTCTTATCTACTTTCCGGTAAAATTAAGTTTAGTCATTGGAAAGTAGGGGGACTATCTATATAGGGTAAAATTAATGACTGACATGTGGATGTTCGTCGGGTTAATACATGACAGTAAAGATAGGTAAGGTATGAATATGTAAATAGTTATCATCGGTTGCGAGCATATAACCAGTGTTATATGAGTTGCGAAGACAATGGAACTGGGGACGAAAGTTTGAAAGAAAGATATCGGTTGAAGAAGGTAGCATTCAAGGATCGACCGTTACAAAGAATCTTTGCATTTATACTCAACCGTTATGCAGCTATCAAGAGGGTTCTTTATTCATATTAAACAGGAGCTTGATTTGGGGATCTTGTCTCACTGAATTTAGCTATAAATATAGGAAATTATACCCATTGTAGACACGAAATACTGGTATGCAAAAACGACTAAACTTACTCTTACTTTCTATTAAAATCTTTTTACTCGATACTCTTTTCTTATTCTTACTTCCGGAAAAGCTCACTTCACAGCCAGACTTGTACTTTCTTCAAGTATCCTTAATTAATCTATTTCTGTTCTTTGTTACTTTTATCTTTGGATCAATTTAATTTACGTGTCTATAAATCGCATTATAAATTTAAATGTACCATTTTACGGGTAAACAACTTGTAGAAGTATGAAATTAACCAATCTGCTATATTCCAATTTCTTAACTCCCAGCCAGTCGTAGTTTAGGAGAATAACGCAAAACTTGGGACTAAGCCAGAACCTAGTAGAAGAATGGTATGAAATAACAAACAAACAAAAAATGGTGACTTTAACCCTAAACTTTCTAACGTTAAGTTATTATGACTTTATTTTCTTTTTAAATTTTTTATGTATCAACTGTAGGGCTCCTAATAGCTTAGTTTGTCTTCTATAGTTAATTAACTGCGGTGGGGACAAGTTTTTACCAAAAGAACAAATATGTGTAAAAGGAAAATGGAAAAATTACGCGATACATCAAATATTTACACTATATTTATCATTCGTAACTATAGTTTCAGCAAATTTATAATTTGTAGCTATATTTGAATTTTATAGCAAATTCATGAAACAAGAGATTAATTACTTTGAACTGAAACAAGAGAGCAACAAGCTCTTGTAGCTCAATTGGTTAGAGCACTCGCTTAGTTAGCAAAGGTCTTGAGTTTGACTCAGCATTTTAGATTTGTGTATTTCTATACGTAACAATTGAACTATAGTTACGAATGGTAATTAGACAAACTATAATTACTAGGTTCTAAACTATAGTGATTTATGAAAATTCCCAAGAAAATTTACTAGTAATAATTATAGATTTATTTAATATTTAATTTATAATAGATTAAATCAAGTTAACTGAGATAAGTCAAATAATGCAGGGATGATAATATAAATTAATGATGAAGAACAAATCCGTGCGTATGTCTGTCAGCAGCCATTACTGTAACGTACGCATGTGAATGAATTAAATTAATTAATAAAAGAACAGAAATTAGATACCATTTGAATACCTAACCCGGTGAAAATAGCACGGGTTAGTCAGTTTTAGGACTGGTAATAAAAAAATAGCCAGTATTTGTAAAGTCACTAAAAAATAGCCACTATTTTGCAGCAACACGAAAAGTTCCAGCATAATATACTGGAGATTGGTGCACCTGTGTATGAATTTTCAGCATATTATGCTGGAACTCCAGCACACGGAAAGTTCCAGCATAATATACTGGAGATTGGAGCACTTATGTATGTACTTCCAGCATATTATGCTAGAACTCAAGTATATTATGCTGGAAGTTCACATGTAAAAAATTCGAACTCCAGTATATTATGCTGGAAGTTCACATGTAAAAAATTCGAACTCCAGTATATTATGCTGGAATATTTTTCAGATTTTGAACAACGTTTTTGTTCAGATTTATCTTTACATGAAAAATGGCTAAATTTCGATTACTTTTGATACTGAAACAGTTTTTCAATTACCATTTGTAAATCTAGTTATTTTTTAATTTAAGCATATAGTACTTTTCTCCATTGTCATGCATCAAATGGTTGTCTCTACTCTCTCAAAGCAGGCGAGCTTCAAGCTTGGAAGATCAAAAAAAGCGAGAACGGGAACTCCTAGAGCTGCTGGAGCGCCTAACCCGGCTCTTACCTCCTTCTACCGTCGCCCGCCTCTGATCAACATTCCAATACTCCGAAGCACACATCAGATACGTAGAGTAGTAATGGGCATATCCATTCTCTCTCCACAATGGCAAGCTCCTCGTTCACACCTAGATCTGGCCAGAGAATAACAAAAGACAGATCTAAAGGCTATGGGAATATACCACTCCCGATACTCTTTCTCCGTCACCTTTATCTCCAAATCAACTGTTTTATATGTTGAATTTAATATCATTATGAATGATTACACTTTAATTAATATATACTTAAAATAAAAACAGAATGGTTTCCATGTCGACGAGTAAAAAAGGACCGCCTGGGATTTAAAAAAACCATCATCCAGTAAAGACTCAATCTCCTCTGTTTCATTATGGATTTCGAGAATATACTAGTTGGTCCACCGACAAATAATCCCCCTTCACTATTTGTTTTCGCTCTCTAATTTTCAACTGTTTTATTCTTGTCAATTCTCTTTTGAATTCTTTTCTTTAAAGTTGAAACTTCTCGGTGTTTTCCCTGTTTTGGTAAAATATATTACGTCTCTGTGTTTTCCCTTATGTGAATATATTTAATTTCAAGAAATATTAAAGATTAATCTGTTGAAATGTAAATTAAATAAGTTTTCCCTTTGTTCCCATTTAATTGTCAGAATAAAGTTTTGCACAACCTTAAAAAAAATTAATCAGGAGTATAATTTATCTAATTTATCCCTTAAAATTCTTTAATCTTTGTGTATTTATGTGCCTCTTAATTCTAGAATAATTAATGCTAATGAAAAAAAAAAAATCTCTTGATTTTATGGAGGGGTATAAAGTATTAAACTTATCTTTTTAAATACTCCCTCCATTCATTTTTAGTCGTCAACTTTTGACTTTGCACCCTTTTTAATAAAATATATATTTTACAATAATACCCATAATAATAATAGTATTTCAAAAAGTCTTGAAAAATAATTTAGGGAATGAGTAGTTAATGATAAGGGTAAAACAAGAAAAAAAATTATCTTTCTCTAAGTAAAAGTAAAAATATATTTTTAGTATAATAGACAAGTAAAAGTGAACGGAAGAGTAAGTGATATAAGGACTTATACATATCTTTTCATTGAATCTATCAAATTTAATTTTTATATCAAATGAATCCCAACAAATCATATCATAAAAGAAAATAAGAATACTAAATATTTATTTCGAAACATAAAACAAATCAGTTATTATTATGTCATATAAAATAAGACCGAGATGGTACTACTCAATAAATCCTCTTTCTCAGTCATCATTTGGGTAATTCATGCAACACATTTTGCCTAGTGAACAATAAGCCAGACGACAGCCACCTCCCAGGTCCGGTCTTGTTTTGTTTCTTTCTTTATTTATTTACTTATTCTTCTCACTCTAAGCTTTCTTCAGTTGTTCTCAGTGCCTTTCGTTAATTCATGTGATTGATAAATGCTGTTTCATTCGTTCCTTCTTGGTTAGGAAAACAGGGATGTGAATTTGATAGGTTGAGGAGTTTTAAGGGGTTTTTTTTTATTATTTATTTTGAGATTTTTACTCTGGCGATGTGGACTTAAACAGTGATCCGATTCTAGTTTTTATTTTTTTTCAGGTGTCATCTAATCACCCTTGTTAGTAAGAGTTGTAATTTTGTCTTATCTGGAGATTTGAGATTTTTATGTTCTAATTTTTGAATGTTTGAGAAATTAATTCCTAATTATTCTGTCTAATCCTTAGTGGACAAAGTCATCCGATACTTATGCTGGTAGGAAATAGTATATACCTGGTCATGGTAATTAAATTATTCTTAAGATTTTCTACCTCAAAAAGCAGAGGCGGAACAAGGATTTTAACCTTATTGGTTCGGGATAGTAATCTTTTTAAGTTACTGGGTTCTAAATTAATAATTTGTACATATTCGATGGATTTTTTTAATATAAGGTTTGAACAAAAGCTATTAGGTTCGGCCGAGCCCGCATCCCACACTCTGGCTCCGCTCCGGTCAAAAAGGGGCTATATATGTTGTGGTTATTCAAAAAGGCGATACTTCTATTTTGTTAATGTTATGATCACATGCACTGTGCCATGTTTGAACGTGAATGTGGTTGGTAAAATGTAAGGTATCACATAAAACTGCTCTGTATCCTAAAGAAGACAATGGATTGATTTGGTGAAGAAGAGTAAATAGATGACTCAATTGAAGGGGGGTGCTTTTTCCCTTGTATTTCCACTTATGGATGGCTGGTTACTGAACTGTTAAAACTGATTTGAGGGCATAGATAAAAACTGTTTGCTACGTTATCTCTTGCTTCGCAGTAGCAGTGAGTTACGATTCTGCTGCTCGGGGAAGCAAGACTAAACTAGCATAAATGTTAACTGTTTGCACTGACCTGGGGAGCCATTTTAGTGTTAATGCTTTATGTTTCTGCATAGCTTTTTTTTCCTAATTGTTGAATGTTTTCATTTTTTCCAGCTTTACTTCAGTCATTTTATCGTCTTTTCTTTTTCTGAATCTAAAAATGTATTACTCTTTTTCTGTTCCTTCTCATGATCTCCTAATTCTTTGTTTCACATAATTCTTTCTTGACTTGAATGTCAAGATTAGAGATTTCTCCATTTTATCCCAAATGATTCAACTACCAGGACTTATTAATCTGAAATTAATTATGGTTATGGTATTTTACATTCAGCAGATCGACAGCATTACTGTTCCATAAAATGGAGAATATTACCAATGTCATGGAATATGAAATCATTGCAAAGGAGAAATTGCCAAAAATGATTTACGATTACTATGCCTCTGGTGCAGAGGACCAATGGACGCTCCAAGAGAATCGAAATGCTTTCTCTAGGATTTTGTGAGTACTTTATTAAGCACGTTGATACTGTTAATATTCTGTTTACCGCTTAACCTTAAGCCTTTGCATTAGAAATGTGAAAACTGAAAGCATTACAACTTTTCAAAGAATTTTCTTCCTTAAGCTGCTGAAGTTTCCTCTTCTTTCATATAGGTTTAGGCCCTGCATTCTTGTAGATGTAAGCAACATTGATACAACGACAAGTGTCTTGGGATTTAAGGTTTCAATGCCGATCATGGTTGCACCAACTGCAATGCAGAAAATGGCTCATCCTGAAGGTATCTGCTATTATATTTTTGAATTATGGCAAAGAGAGCTGGCTAAGTTCCATAAAACATATAATGATTACTGATAGATATTTGATACTAAGGTGGTGGGCTTACTATAGTCTGGACAAGGAACAAATGGTTTATTTTCTATCGAGAAAAGTCACTAAAAGTCAGATTTTGAAATAGTTGTATGTTGCTGTTTTGACTAGTGCATGCCATTTTTCAGAATTACAAGGAGAACAATTCCAAATTGTTCACTTGTGAGTGCTTCATATTCTGTCTTGTATCGTATAGTTATGAGCTCTGGCTTAGCACATCTCATTGAAAATATAGCAAGTGAACTCCATCTTTTTTGAATTCTGTTTGATACAAAAACTCTAGGGGTTCATATCAGAAGTTTTAACTTATTTATTTTGTTAAATAGCACCATACTATAGGTAGACATCTGTTTGAAAATGTGGTAGCTTTAGATAGTAGCAAATGCAGAGCTAAATGATACTTGGCTGGAATAGCAGCATATTTTCTCCGATTCTCGCTAGATGGCAGTACTTTTTGTGCATTTCTTCTTGGAGTCGCTGTTTGATTTGGTTCATTTGGAACTCGTAAGCTTTTTGAATAGTTTAAGTGACCATAGTCTTGTTGTGACCAGCAACGTTTGTCTGAGAATCAAATACTTTGATGCAGGAGAATACGCAACAGCACGAGCAACATCAGCTGCTGGCACCATCATGGTTTGGATTTCTAATTCTATGCTTTCCCCAACCCCGATCCAAATGATTAAAATTTGGCTGAGTGCTATGCTTGATGCTCTAAATTTATTTGCGTGCATATCCCTTCTTTGAACTGAAATGTAATTGGTATTTTTTAGACATTATCTTCATGGGCAACTTCCAGTGTAGAAGAGGTTGCTTCAACGGGACCAGGCATTCGCTTTTTCCAGCTCTATGTGAGTTTTTATATTCATTTGTTCATATTAGCTCTTCTTACCTACTTCGTGAAGCATGGATCAGAAAAAGGAAGTGTTTTTTTTTTCCTTCAATGGATCTACATGTCTCTCTTCTTTTGCATGTCCATCACAATTCATATAACAGAAGCGAATCTTGGGTGTGTATTAATATTGCTTCATTATGCAATAAAAATGTGAGAAGAGAGGAAATAAGATATAAAACATTTCTTAACAATTGGTCAGCTTCGTGAAATTAGGAAGTTTCCTAATTATAATGGCGTAATCGTTGTGAATACTCACACAAATTCTTATTGATTCTCCTGGCTTTCAACAAACTCATTAAAAAAAAGTTACACAATAATTTTTAGCTATTCTCTCCACTTCCAACATGCCGCTTCAAACTTGAGGTAGTAAAACAAATTAAGTTCGCAAATCGAAACTGGAAAGTCAAGTTGAGTATGTCTGAGAAAGTTGTTGAAGATAATTGTAGCAAGGGAGATGGCTATGCAAATGCACAATCTGAATGAGCAGAAAAGCTTGATCAGACAGATATACTTGCAAGTGCTGGGGACCATACTAGGGTGGTGTGGAGAGGCTTAATGTTTCATAATGAGGCAAGACCCAAGGCTATGTTTACAATGTGGCTTCAATGTCATGGAAAGCTGTTAACTGTTGACAGATTAGTACTATGGAGAATGCAACTGAACACTACCTGTGCACTGTGTCAAGCAGCTGTTTGGAGAATGTGTTTTCTCAATGGCACTATGGACAAGGCTAATGGGATGGCTAAAGATTCAATATGTTCAGACCAACATTTGGCAGCAGATGTTTGACTGGATGATACTGCACACCAAAGGGAGATCTTTGATGGCAAGGATCCTTAAAATGACATATGCTGAGTATATCCATGCAATATGGAAGGAGAGACAAAACTACTGAGAAACTAGCTAGATAAATTTCACATATATGCAACATCAGAGGGATGGGAGTAATTAGCTAGATAAATTGCACATATATGCAACATCAGAGGGATGGGAGTAATTAGGAGCAGACTGCAACAACTTCTTTTCTGATCTTGGAAATTCTACAGACCAGCTGGTTATTTTAAATAGTAGTAGGATTAAAGTACTGCAAGTAGATAGGGTTTAGAGATAGAAATATGTATTAAGTGGATGACTTAGCTTGTTTTGTAATTGCCGCCCTTGGTGATAAATGAAAATTTTAATTACCAAAAAAAAGAAAGTTGTTTAAGAAGCATTCATCTGAATAATTTCGTGAAGAAATGCTGTTGCCTGAAGTAAATTGACGTGATGCTTCCATGAGAGAAAATTGACTTGATGTTGGCTGTGAAACTGACTTGGTGGTCTCACTACTGTGAATCCATGAGACGTGACGAAACTTGAGGACTGCATGCCTCTAGTTTGACTAGAAGAAAGACGAGTGGGCTACCAACTTGACCAAATTCTGAGAAACTATGCTGCTGATTTGCCACTAAGTACGCGATGAATTGATGACGATATGCCGTGGGTGATGGCATATTTTTGATTGTGCAACATGTCGCTGATTGGAGAAAAGTGAATTGATGTCTTGACAGGTCAGCTAACGTGAACGGACGACCCATAAAAAGGACAGACATAAAAAAGGATGAGCTGCTGGAGTGGTATTGTGGTAATTAGAAATAGACCAGATCAAACACGAATGGGAAAAAAGAATTTGGTCAGGTGGGCAGCGTAAGGCCAGCCCCTGTACTCATAATCTATTCAGATCTCTACCAAAATTGCTGAGGTCTTGATACTATGTGAGAAGGGAAGATAGAAGAGAGTTTCTTATGAATTGTTTCACGAGTCCTCCTTTGTGTCCATCAAATATTTAGTCTTGTTTTCTTTCTTTAAATTCCTTATTCTTCTCTTTCCTCTGTGATTATCCACACTGAGTCATAACTACCAAATATTTGTGTGGCAACTGGTTTGATATGCTTCTCATTTTTTGATGAGGTTATTATGTAGAACACAACCTGGAACCGTTAAGTTTCTATTTACATATTTCAGGTGTATAAAGACAGGAATGTTGTTCGGCAACTTGTGAAAAGAGCGGAAAGGGCTGGTTTTAAGGCAATTGCCCTTACAGTGGATACCCCAAGGCTTGGTCGAAGGGAAGCTGATATCAAGAATAGGTATTAGGCACCATTTTTTATTATGTCAGTTCGTTGTCCAAAGGTTTTGATTGTTTGATTTGGTCATCAGCTAGTTTTGCACATAGGTAGAGTTGATTGATAAGGTGGTTTTCATTTGGCTTCTGACAGGTTTGTTTTGCCATCTCACCTGACATTGAAGAATTTTGAAGGACTGGATCTTGGAAAGATGGATAAGGTAAATGATATTAAAATCTGACGTACTTGAGACTAAGAGCCCGTTTGGATTGGCTTAATTTAAGTAGCTTTTAAGCATTAAGTGCTTAAAAGTACTTTTTATGTGTTTGAGCTTAATTTTTAAATAAGCAGTTATGTGTTTGGATAAAGATGCTGGAGCTGAAAATAAGCCGTTGATGTATTTGGAAAAAATATGTTCATAAACACTTTTTCTGTTAAAATGACTTAAATTCCCTGAACTATCAAGACTAAATCAATTCGTACTGTCTTTTCTTTCTTTCTTTTTTCATGGGGTCAAAACAAATAAATAGGTGTAGATTCTCAAATCAAGTTGATTGCTAAGCTCTATTTTCTTGAAAGTAAGAGGTATTTATACTTACCGGAAGAAACGCAGGTTATTAACTAAAATTAATTTGAACTTAATTCAAATATAAATTAATTTTTGTCTCAATTAAAAGCATTCATTCTTCCCCACCCAAAGCCACCCACCACGAGAAAGGAAATAGATAACTCTACAAAGAACAAAACGCTGTTCATTTTTCACTCTCAGGAATCCAAAACCAAAAGAGTCATTAGAATTAATTTATCTGTTAGACAAAAAATAAGCAACCAAAGACTTGCTTAAAGAAAAACAAAAGGCACCAAGGACTTCAGTTCGGCAGAGATGAAATTTGGAAGGCAGAGATTGGAAATGGCGGAGGAAAGGAGAAAAAGAAAAGATTGGGGTATTTTGGGAATTATACATAAGTATCAGGGATAGCAATGTAAAATACTTGGTCAAAGATGGGTGGCTTTTAAGCTTAAAAAAAAAAAAGTTGGGATTACCCAACTTATCACTTTTGGCTTATTTTAGACCTTTTGGCTTAAAAGCATTTGACCTTTAAGCAGATTTTAAGTTTGCCAAACACCTCCATAAGCTAAAAAATGACTTAAAAGCTGGTTTGACCAGCTTAAAAGCCAATCCAAACAGGCTCTAAAGTCTTTAAATTGTGCAATTTTTGCCGACTGGCACTTTGTTTGGTGATCCTGCAGACGGATGACTCGGGACTGGCTTCTTATGTTGCCGGCCAAGTTGATCGGTCTCTTAGCTGGAAGGTATGATGTTGCTTGACTTCATCCTTGCAGGAAGAATGTTTGTATATTTATTATCATATAAAAACACTTGTGAAATTCGGACAGGATGTGAAGTGGCTTCAGACAATAACACACTTGCCAATCCTACTGAAGGGTGTATTAACTGCAGAAGATGGTATACCAGAATATTATATGTCAATTGCTTTGGTTTTTCTTTTTATTCTTTCTCTACCTCTTTCTTTGTATCTCTATCTTCTTTTTATTGATCACATTTACTGTTTTTTCTTCTTTGACAAGTTTAGCAAGGCTAGCTGTAGAATCCGGAGCAGCTGGAATTATTGTGTCTAATCATGGGGCTCGACAACTTGATTATGCTCCCGCAACAGTTATGGCCTTGGAAGAGGTTAGCTTCTAGTTATTAAAACTATGATGCCTTTCTCAGTTGAAATCTACTCGAATTACATCGCTCAACTGATATTACCTTGACTTATATAACAGAACTTTCATATATCTTCTCTCCTTTATTCTTTCCCCTTCATCATGTAGAGACTTCTCATCATCACCAAGCTATGTGCATCGAAATGAAAATAAGAATTAAATCCTTCATGCTTTTTTATATGCTGAATCCACTCCTCTTATAAAGGTGGGAGGTTTGAGCGGGGGATAAAAGGGAGGAGAATATAAATTGTGTGCTAGGTCTGTGATTTTCTTTTTGGCTGCTTGATGTTTTGTAGTGTTTTTAAGATATTTTTTTAAGTATTATTCTAATCAACTTGTTGAACCTTTAGTGCTTCTAAGCTCATAATCTTGATAGGAGTTTCACATGTTAAAATTTTGGCTTCATCTTAAAAACACTTGCAGGTTGTCAAAGCAGTGCAAGGAAGAATTCCTGTTTTCCTTGATGGTGGAATTCGCCGAGGGACAGATGTCTTTAAAGCACTGGCTCTTGGAGCATCTGGTGTATTTGTAAGTACAAGTATCACATAATTTGGCAGCAATTTTTGCAAGTACCTACTTTAAGAATGGAACTTATTTACTCAGTTCCAATTTCATTCACATAATCAAACATTCCTCTTCTTCTTTCCCTGCCTCGAACGATCAAATTTTATAAAATCGTTAGGAACTTAGCGACAAATGAGATTATTTGTTGTGGTGGTGCTCAGACTGACCATTTTTATCGATACATTTACAGATTGGAAGACCAGTTGTGTTTTCATTGGCTGTTGACGGAGAGGCTGGCGTTAGAAAAGTACTTCAGATGCTTCACGATGAGTTTGAACTGACAATGGCGTTAAGTGGTTGTCGCTCAATCAAGGAAATCACTCGTAGTCATATCACGACTCCTTGGGATCCCCCTCGTATCACACCCCGGTTATAAGCTGAAATCTCAACTTCATGTGTACAACTCCACGCTTAATTCAAAAATAAGTTGCCTCCTATGAGAAAAAGCACCATAAGTTCATGTATTATCACAATGGGAAGAAAAAGATTCATCAAACTAAAGACTGCATTTAGCGTTTTCTAAATGAAATATATTGCATTTTTACACTTGGAATTGCCATCAGAAGTAGATATTTGGTTCTGACAAGTTATTAGGCAGTTTTTGAATCTTGAAATGCAGTCAAACATGTGAAAGTTCAGTTCTAGGAAAAATGTCTAGCAAAATGCAGCCTTTGAACTCTTTTTGCTGTTACATTGATGCTTTATTTTCATGTTAGGCAACCCCGACCCGTCATCTTTATTATATTTGAATTGCAACCATTGTAATAGGTGGGGAGTGGATGCTGCAAGTGTATTCTCTTTCGTCATGATACCGGGGTACAATTGTCAAAAATATATTATCATTAGTTATGGGTCGAATTGTTATTTTTGACATTAAAAGAAAAAATATTGTTTTTTCTATTTTAATCTGGGGTGAGAGATAGCAGGTAACTGGATTAGTAGTTAGTCAGAGCAAGATCTTTTGGGGCATGATCACCAATTTGGTCAAAGCTTTCACCTAATTACACACACATTTAGCCTAATATAAAGCTAAACTTTGAACCTATTATGACAAACTCTCAGAGTTTCAACGTACTAAATATTTTAATGAGCAGAATCGAACATATGGTGCCTAACATTTTAAACATGGAATGATTGAGTGATGGAACTTGTGAGTGGGCAAGCACAAAAATCTATTATGTAGGTTACATAAACCTCTAGTGACAAAACTTAAAAGGACAACTCAACTTTATAATTGAAATGAGGAAAAAATGTACTTTTTTGTTGTTCTTGGTTGCAGATATACACAAATCAAATCATGCATTTTGTCATGAGGTTTGTGTGTTCGTGTAACACTAATTAGTATCGGTCTTGTTGCCCTAGAAAAATAATATTGTATAGCCTCTCTCAAAATAATAGTCGAAAAAATTATAGCCTCTCTCAAAATAATAGTCGAAAAAATATACTCTCATATATATGTGTGTGTGTGTGTTATATATACAAAAAAAATATACTATATAAATTTTATACACTTTTGCGGTTACTAAATATAAATAGTTTTGGCCGCAAGTTAAAAGTAATTTTTGCCCTCTATAGTTCTATGAAAAGCAATTTGATGGTTTTAACAAGAACAATTTTGTATGTTAGGCCACATAGAAACCTTACGCTAAAACCTCCGATAAGAAAATTTAATTGAGGATCTGTAATACACAACTCTCACACAGTGGCAGAAGCAGGATATTTACTAAAGGAGTTCAACGACAACAACAACAACATATCCAGGTGGTATAATACTAAGGGGGCTCAAAAATAAAAAATAAAAAGAGTAAACACGCGAAGAAGCATATATATATATATATATATATATATATATATGATACGAGTGTTGCGCGTGTACCCTATCTTAATGAATACGAAATCTTAAGAGAAATGCATACATTATGTTTGAATCATAAAATAAAAGTTGAATAAAAGTATAACTTTTTGAAAATGATTATTCATTATCCTATTTAGCTAATTAATCAATAAGGGACGAAACTTTGTGGCGATAGAAATTCTCAATCATCTCAATCAATGGGTAAATTTCACAAATGGTCATATAACCTTTTTTCACCAAAGCCATGTAACTTTATTTTCTCACACAAAAATCATATAACTATGACTTTTTTTTTCTCACTAAAGTCATCGAACTTTGTTTTCTCACAAAAAATCATAAAACTTTCACTAACTCACACAAAAATCACAGTTGTCGGAAAATAAATTTTTCGGTAGTATTTTCTTATTTTATATTTTTTTTATTTTTTATTTTCGATCTAATAAATAATTACCCTATTAAAATAGGAGAAATATGAGTATATTTTTTGTCGCTCCCAAAAATAATAGATGATATATATATATATATATATATATATATATATATATATATATATATATATATATATATGTGTGTGTGTGTGTGTATTATATACATATAATATACACATTCTATATATATTTTGGCTAGCAAATGCAATTAGTTTCGGCCGAGCGGTTAATTTTATATTTTTTCTTTAAAATAGGAATGATCCAACCCATCCTGACCCAATACCCCTATACGTAAGTTAAAATAATACTAAAAGTGAATTCTTCCCCCATAAAAAACTTAGTTCGAAAAGCATGAGATTCTGACCTAAAAACAAAGAAATAAAAGATATAATTAGAGTGCACGTGAAATAAAAATGATATCAATTTGAATAAAAAACTTGAAAAAAAAGGATGAAAGTATCATGTTTTGAAGGATTTAATATTCACTTTTAGTATTATTTTAATTTATATATATGAGTATTGGGTCGGGTGAGCCAGGTCGAATTGGGTCATCCCTATTTTGAGCGAAATATTATTTATCAGATTGAAAATAAAAAAATAAAAAAATACTACTGAAAAATTATATTTTTCGATCACTATGATTTTTGTGTGAGTTAATAAAAGTTGTATGATTTTTGTGTGAGAAAACATAGTTATATGACTTTGGTAAAACAAAATCATAGTTATATTATTTTTATGTGAAAAAATAAAGTTATATGACTTTGGTGAAAAAAGGTCATAGTTATATACCATTTGTGAAATTTACCCCTCAATCAATATATTTGACTTAATATCTTTTCAGTTTTATAATTTTATAACTTCAATTTTCACAAATTTTCTTTCTTCTTTAAGTTAGAACATATAAGTTTTGAAGATTTAAGAATTTATCTAAAAAACTAGGAAGGCTATATATTATTAAGTTCATTTTAGAAGATATGAATATGGTCTATTTCACGACGTTACTGCAAATTCTATTTCTTTAATCAATAACGAATACTATACTAATTGTTTTCAACTGATTAGAAAAGTAATTTAAAATGTGAGACCTACGTACGTATTTGCCGAGTCAATCAATTCAAATTTACACAAAAAATTAATTGTGTAAAATTGTAATGGATGTTAAAATAATGCAAATATTTATTCATTACATTGATAATAATTGAACTTGCAACGCTGAACAATTTAGTTAAGTTTGTTATAATGCATTTACTAAAATGCCAAATATGATGTAAAGAATATTAAAAATAAATACATGTAAACTACAGTCGAAAAATACATGTAAATTACTAAAAACAATATTAATATGTAGGAGTAAAATATTGTTCATACATTTAATGTTAGATTAAAAGATCTAGTAACAATATTCAAGAGAGTAAAGTTTTATGTAAAATATGCGAAAGAATGTTTGTTGGCGGTGCTGATTTATAAAATATAAAAGCTGAAATTCAAAGTGATAAATTTAAAGCTGATTTCAAATTCTAAAATATTAGTCAAAGTATTAAATAATACAAATTCATCTAATATGAAATTATTCATTTGTAGAATTAAAATAGTACAATTCGATATTTACAGGTGTGTATATATTTTTTGAAACAAAAGCTAGATGTGAAAGAAAATTAATAAAAAAAGTCTATTAGAAATCTACTTACTACTTAGCATAGATGTCCAAAAGATATGTAGAAGTGGAGAAACGGAAACAGTAAACGTGGACCCTTTTATCTCTATTTAAACTTAGTGAACGTAGAGAACTCAAAGAGCCATAACCATTAATGTTTATGCCTAAACATTAGGAGAAGGAATAGAAAGATGTCCTAAATATTAGGAACGTAAATAAATGTTATTCCTAAATATAAGAAAAATAACTAAATGACTATTTTGTTTAGTGTAATATTAGTTTCTGAAGGGTAAAAAAGATGAACGACATTTCGCTAAGGGATTTCATGCTTTTATTATAGCTAATTTTAGGATACACGCGATGCGCGTGTACCTTATATGTATGAGTATAACTTTTTAAAAATTTAATAACTAATATTAAATTATATATTTGAGTTAATTATAAAATAAAATTTAAAAAATATAAGCTCTTCAAATGACAAATATTGATCATATTTAGTTAAAAAATAACGGATGACCTAGCTAAGCATGAAAACAGTTTAGATAATTCTAAAAGCTTAATGATCTATCACGTACTCCTTCTTTTTATTTTAACATTATATGAAAATGATTGTTATAGGTATTGTATATTCTAGACAGGTCAACCAAAAAAAATCACAACAGATAAATTATGTAACTAAGTAGCAAATCTCCATCGCTCAATAAAAAATAACGACAAATTATCAAAAATCATATTCAATTCAAGGTCATTAGTTATAATATCCTCAATATCATTAACTGAATATAAAGAAGAATAGAGATCTTATTTTGATCTTCTTGCAACAATGTTACTAAATTTAATTATTATCACCATCTTCTAAACAACACGGTGATTAAGAAGTTATCTAGAATTTGTCAAATTTAATTTGTATTTAAACAATTAGAAGAAATAGAAGTGGTTAAAAAAGATAGTGGTCAACACCATGTTACCTTTTTTTTAATGCCCGGCACCTCCTCTTGAACTAGATGAAATTAGCCAGGCGTAGGAAGATAATCAGGTCTCGAGATATTTTCAAGTTTCAGAAGAGACCGATGCGACGAAGTCCACAGTGGAAGAGATGGAGCAAGTGGCATAGTTCGAGGAATTCCTAGAAAGGAAATTTTACCTAGGGACAGGACTGCACCCGAAACTCAGGTCCGACTTCATTAAATTCCTTAAATCTAATACCGATTATTTTGATGGTCACATGACGATATGACAGGTATCCTGACAGAGGTAGCCGTATACAAGTTAAGCTTGGATCCTAACATACCTCCGGTAAGACAAAAGAAGCGCCCGATCGCCGAAGCCAGGAATAAATTCGTCAAAGAAGAGGTAACCCGCTTACTTAATATCGGTTCGATCCAGGAGGTAAGATATCCAGACTGGCTAACTAATGTAGTAGTAGTTCCTAAAAAGAACAATAAGTTTCGCATATACGTAGATTATAAAGATCTTAATAAGGCGTGCCCGAAAGACTCATTCGCACTGCCAAACATCAATCAAATGATTGATCCCACAACCGGGCACGAGTTAATGAGTTTCCTCGATATTTATTCCGGGTACAACTATATTAAGATGAACCCGGAAAATCAGGTTCGTTTATAACGAGTTTTGGTATATATTGTTACAATGTGATGCCCTTTGGGTTGAAAAACGCCTGAGCCACTTATCAACGGCTCGTGAACAAAATGTTTGAAAATCAAATAGGAAAAATTATGAAA